CGACGACGACGACGACGAGGACGAGGACGACGAGGACGGAGGGGAGAGGCCTGCTCTGCCTGCCGAAGCCCCGGGCTCTCCTGCTCCCTCCGCCGCCGAGGCTCGGGGTTTCTTCCGCGGGGGCGGGGAGGCTCCGCCGGCGTCCGAGTCGGAGGAGGAGGAAGCGGAGGCCAGAGTTTCCTCGCCGAGAGAGGCCGTGGTGGGGAGCGGGCGGGGCGAGGCGGGGGCCGGGGGAGGGTCGGGGCGAGGGGGGGGGGGGGGGGGGGGGGGGGGGTACGCAGGGGGGGGGGGGGGGGGGTGGAGGGGGGGGGAGGAGGAGGAGGAGGAGGGGGAGCAGGAGGGTCCGGGCCTTCCCCCCCTCCCCCCCGGCGGCTCGGAGCGCGGCGGGGGCGCGCCGGGGGCCCGCAGGAGGGCGGCGGCGGCGGGGGGCGCGGGGCCCGCCGCGGGGCTGAGCCCCGGCGCTGGCGGGCGGCGGCGGCGGGCGGCGGCGGAGGCAGCGGCCGCCTCGGCGCTCGGTGGCTGCGCTCCGCTCCCTGGTGTGTTGATTCTTCCCCCAGCTGCTGCCTAATGGAGTCCAGGCGCTCGCGTCACAGGAAATGCCTATACTGCCCTCCTCACTCACTTCCGGTGGCAGGTATGGAGCCTATGGGGGGCCTGTCAGGCGGCACGTGCGCCGGGCGGCGGGGCGGGAGGACCGCGGACGCGACCCTGACCCCGGGCCCGACGCCCCCGACGCCCCCGACGCCCCCGACCCTGGCCCCGCGTGAACGCGGCCTCGACCGCGACCCCGGCCCCGCCGCCCCCGACTCCGGCCCCGCGCGGACGCGGCCTCGACGGCGACCTCGGTCCCCGCCCCGACGCCCCCGACCCCGGCCCCGCCCGGATGCGGCCCCGACCCCGACGGCCGCCTTAGCAGCAGTAAGTGCGGCAGCCACAGGTGTGGCGCGGGCCGGGGTCGGGGGCGTCGGGGCCGGGGTCAGGAAGGTCGAGGTCGGCGCAGGTTGGAGTCGGGGCCGGGGGTGGGGGGCTAGGATCGGCGCCGGTCGGGGTCGGGGACGTCGGGGCCGGGTCTGGTGGGGGTTGGTGTGGGCGCACGCCGGGTCGGGGTCGGGGTCAAGGGGGGTCGGGGTCTCGGGCTTCGGACGCGACGGCGGGATCTGGACGAGGAGGCACAGGGTGGGCGGCCGCGGCGACTCACCCGGCGGTAACCCCGGGTGTACAGCCTCCTGCTGTCAGAAGAAGCCGGAATTTGCGCGTGCTGCAGGGTATCTGGGGCGGTGGGCGGACGAGAGCCCTGCTCCCCCCGCCCCGGCGAGGTGGGCTGCTTGCCAGGGAGCGAGGTTGCGCGCGGGCACCTGCCCAGGGGCTCCCCCTCTCCCTTCCAGCCGTCTCCTCCAAAAGCACACCACTTCCCTGCAGGATTTGGACCCTGCTTGGGATCCAGGCATGACATTTTTTGGTGAAACGTGAGGCTTCTGTCACTGTGACGTACCCGTTTGTGTTGCTGCATTTGTGCAGCGACAAAGACTGGGCTGAACCTTGACCACGGGTGAATGGTCTGCACTACCCCAAACGAGTTTTATTTACCTGTGGGGGTGATCCCTTACACACCTGGTGTGTGCAGGCATTTTTCTCAGAAATTAAAAAAACAAAAACAAAAAATCTTTCTCTGAAGTAGTTTCCCCGTGGAAAAAACATAGATTTAACTAAGGGATTTTCTGTCTCTGAAATTTACTGTAGTAAAAAGCCCAGGTAACTTTAGGGAGGCCTTGGGAGACAGTCCTTTAACACTTTGGAAAAATGGTAAAGAATGATGGCGAGGAGAACTTGGTAAAACAGTCCTGAGCTCTAATGATCCTCAGATTCTCAGATGGGAGAGGAAGTCTCATGCAGGATCCTACAGACTTAGCTTTGTGGTTCTCATCTCTTAAATATGCTTTCAGGTGGCGGTGTAATCGCAAGGTGACTCACATTGGATTATTTATTCTCCTGAGACAGACCCGAGTGCCAGCTAAGAATCGTAGGGCACCGTCCCTGTAGCCAGCAGAGCCTGAATTACTGGATGGTTAACACCTTCAGAGATCCCTGTTTGTATGTTCACTTGAGCCTACCTTATTATTATTAAGGGTTGTTCAGAATAATTTGTTAGGCTCCTAACAGTGTTGAGGACAAGCTTCTGGGTGAAGCGCATAGCTTTCCTAAGGAAATGACTGTTTACACGTGGGGGTGATCACTCACACGCCTAGTGTGCGCAGACGTTTTCTCAAAAGTGTCTGCGTGGCTGCTCAGTGGTCACTTAGTGATCACTGCATATAGGGCTCATACTTCATTAACAAAAATAAAAAGGATGAAAAGTTGCAGAAACTAGGCTCAATTGCTGTCTAAACTTAATAGGTATAGCCGAGCTGTTCTATTTTTTTATGTGATCCAGACAGTTCTTATTAGAATTCTGAATTTATGAAGTCTACATGCACCCGCATTTTTCTCTGTGCTAAAATATAGCTTGAGAATCTGGTGTCTGAACTCCGAGTGGTTTCAGAGCTGGGTTTGCAGTCCATGTGCAGACGAAGAATCCTGGAATAGGGCTCTATACACACACCTTCAGTAATGCCATTATCAACCCCAGGACAAAACCCACAGTCTGCCTTGCTCTCTGCAGACTGACCTCAGGCTTTCTTTTTGACTTTATCCCTTGCCACTCCCTTTGAGCCCTTTGCCACTGTCCCCTGGACATGCTGAGCTCATGTCATCCTTTGAGTCTCTGCCCCTCTGATTCCAGTTCATCTTTTGAGATTCAGCTTGTTTTGAGCCTTTCCTGACTTCCTGCCTCCTAGAGTAGCACCTCTGTAGGCCTTCAGTTTTGAAGGCTGTTTGTAATGTTTTCTAATTTACTAAGACCCCTTTCAAGTCTTCAAAAGAGAGGAGCCTTTCTAGACCTCTCTCCCCACGAATATGAAAGCATACCTGATATTCAAAGGGAACACTCATAGGAAGGGTGATTGTGATTTTGTGAAAGTTTGGTTCAACGACAAATAACATATCTATGCTTTACAAAATAAATATATTTTTTTCTGTAGGACATTTTCAAAAAAATTTTAAAAATACCCATCTAGGACAGTCCTGACTTATAAAAAAAAGACAACTCAAGAAATGGGCATTAAATGCTGAAATGGCAAATTATTAGTACCATCCAAGGCAGTATCTAACTGTAAAAATTAAGAGCTGCTGGATTTTTTAAAATGCTGAGGTTGGGGCGCCTGGGTGGCTGAGTCGGTTGAGCCTCCTGCTTTGGCTCAGGTCATGATCTCACGGTTCGTGGGTTTGAGCCCCGTGTCGGGCTCTGTGCTGACAGCTAGCTTGGAGCCTAGAGCCTGCTTCAGATTCTGTGTCTCCCTCTCTCTCTGACCCTCCCCTGCTCACACTGTCTCTCTCTCTCTCTCAGAAGTAAATTAAAAAATATTAAAAAGTTTTTTAAAAATGCTGAGGTAGTATGCGTGTTTATAATAAAATATAAAACCCCACTTCCGCAAAACTTTTTTTTTGGTATTCATATTTAATCATTATTAATAATTATTTTAATTTTTAAATGCTTGTTTTTGAGAGTGTGTGGGGGAGGGGCAGAGAGAAGGAGACACAGAATATGAAGCAGGCTCTAGGCTCTGAGCTGTCAGCACAGAGCCTGATGCAGGGCTCGAACCCATGAATGAACGTGAGATCATGACCTGAGCCGAAGTAGAATGCTTAACTGACTAAGCCACCAGGGTGCCCCTAAGTTTTTATTATTTTTAAGTAATCTCTGCACCCAATGTGAGGCTCAAACTTAATAACCCAGAGATCAAGAGTCCCACACTCCACCGACTAAGCCACCCCTATCATAGAAGTCTTTGTAAAACGAGTCATGACTATTACTCTGTCACGGTGTGGCTTTGGTATCTCAACCTGATACTTAGAGCCATCAATGTTATTCAATTCATTAAATTTTTGTTAGGAAGAGGTGGTTTTCATGATCTCAGGTACCCCTGGGGAGAGTGTCTTTATTTCTCTGGCTCCTTTCCTAGCCCTTTAACGTTCTCACCAGGGCAAGCTGGGCTTGGACTTGGGTGGGAGAGGCGAAATCAGGAAAGAGCACAGTTCTTGGAGCAGAACACTTAGCTGATCAACCTCGGGTGAGTTGTATAACTTTGCTGCTCTGTAGTCATTCTGTCTTGTAAGTACAGAGAATGACCTCAGCCTACCTGTTGAGTTGATGTGGGAGTCAAATAAGTTAACAAATATAACAAATACTTGGAAAAATGCTTTCAAAAGATTTCAAAATAGATTAAAAAAATTTTTAATATTTATTTTTGAGAGAGAGCATGAGCGGGGAAGGGGCAGACAGAGAGGGAAACACAGAGTGTGAAGCAGACTCCAGGCTCTGAGCTGTCAGCACAGAGCCTGACGCAGGGCTCAAACCCATGAACCACAAGATTGTGACCCAAGCTGAAGTCAGACCCCTAACCGACAGTGCCCCTGAAAATAGATTTTAAGCCTGCCATCATTTCAGAAAGGATTTGAGGCAGCTAAGTGCCAAGATGTTAGATGGTTTTCCTGTTCTTACCAGTCCTGAGCTGTAGGCCCTGTAGTCCCTCTCCCGTGTGACCATACCTGTGCCGTCCGAGGCAGGCGGCTCCGGGCCGTGCTTCCTGTTGGTCCTCGTGAAGGGGAGTTTGGGCACGCTAACCTGCCAGTCCTCCCTGCTGTTCACACCCGTCTCTGGCCCTCTCTTGTTTCCCCCTTCTGCAAACATCTCATCCCAACATCCCATCGTGAGCCTGCACCGCATACCTGTAAGTGACGGGAGGGTGGCGCACCGGGTGGGCCTATGCGCAAAGACGGGCTCCTGCGTTGCCACTCGAACCCTCACACTCAGAGTCGAACAGGCAGAGGCATTCACCTCCCTCAGCTGGAAACAGGCCTTTCCCGCGCTGTTCTTGAGACGCCATGGGGTGCAAACCATGGCGTCCCAGGAAAGTTTCCAAAGCACTGAAATCCACCAAGGGAACTAGACTGTTCTTTTCCAACCACACAAGCAGGATAGACGGCTTGGAGCCGCCTGTGCGGACTTGGGTAGCTGGTCACGTTGAAAAGCCACGTACCACACTGACCCTTGTGTGCAAAGCTATTCCCCAAAGCACTGTGTCAAGAACAAAAAGAATGTGGTCATCACCGTGTGCTGGTCTGGAAGTCGTCTCAGGATACACTGTGAAGTAAGAAATGCATGTAGCAAAACTGCGTAATATGATTCCGTTTAGGGTGCCTGGGGGGCTCCATCGGTTGACCATCCGTCTCTTGATTTCCGCTCAGGTCATGATCCCAGGGTCGTCAGATGGAGCCCTGTGTCAGGCTGTGCACTGAGCGTGGAGTCTGCTTGAGATTTTCTCTCTCTCTGCCCCTCCCCCATGAGCACTTGCAATCAACGCGTATGCATATGTTATTTTTCCGATAGGATAAAAAAGCCTAAATCTTTGGGTGGGAGGACTCCAAAGGTGAGAAGAAGCTATTTTTTCCATCTGATCCATCAGTGTTTGCATTTTCTAACTATGAGTATTTTTTTTAGGTGTCATTTGGATTTTGCTTTCTTTTTTTTTTGTATTAATGTTATGTTTTTGAAGTACTCATGTGTTTTAAAATACCCTCAGAAACTATCAAAATAGTCATAATTTTGAGAATTTAGTCATAATGAAAACATACCAGGTAAAGCAGTGTTGTGCATATTTAATTGATGTGAAATCTGCATTCTTTACCTCTCCTTTTGGCCCCTGTATCTCCCTTGTGCCCATACTGCTAGCTCTGCACATATACACCCCTCATTCTCATTTGGTTAAATTCATCTGGGGAATAAAGGGCAAAAGACACTCCTATTTATTAACTTTGAAAAGTAGCTAAATAATTAATGGCCCCTGGAGTCTGCGTGGTAGACAGCAGGCCCTTTGGGCAGTGTTCCTCATTCTCAGTGTCATACATGCACTTCACTTCCCTGTCATTATGACCATTAAAGAATAGTCCAAGGTGAAACATGGACTATTGTTATGATTGTTAATGAGAAACAAGTTCCAATTATGAGAAAATGTGTTTTAAGAATGTATACCCAGAACATATAGAAATAATGGTCTAATGGCTAGACTTTTATTTTGTTATCATTTTTTAAAGTTTATTTATGTATTTTTGAGAGAGACAGAGATAGCATGAGTAGGGGAAGGGCAGAGAGAGAAGGGGAGAGAGAATCCCAAGCAGGCTCCACACAGCCAACCAGTGCAGAGCCCAACTGGGGATTCGAACACATGAAGCCAAGAGATCATGACCTGAGTCAAAACTAAGAGTCAGATGCTTAACTGACTGAGCCCCCCAAGTGCCCCTAATTAATAAAATTTATGTTTTAATTCCCTGGACCTCTTCAGTCTATTATTTTGAAATTACTCTCTTTACTTATTAATATTAAGTGTATAGACAGATGTGAAACATTAAATTAAACACATTTAAAAAGTTGTTTGAATGAGCCCAGGGATGCCAGAGTAAAAGCAGCTCTTAGCTCCATTTTGGGGTGCATGGAGCGGCCGTGTCTGAGTCAAGGCTGGGAGTGCACGGGCTTGCACACTCCTTATTTAGTGCCAGTAGGGTTTGTACAGTCACCCAGAAGGGCAGCCTTTCTGTATACCTTTCTCATATCCAAGGCTGTCCACTTTCTGCTATACCTCTGACTTCTTATCTCCGAATATTTTTTTCTCTGTCCAAATTATTGACAAATATTGTTTGATGACAAATGGAAATAGCTAGAAATAAATGCTTTCATAAAGTTTAGCCACAGAGTTTCAACAACAATTTTTTTTTTTTTAAGCATTTATTTTTGAGAGAACGAGCATGAACGGGAGAGGGACAGAGAGAGAGGGAGACACAGAATCTGAAGCAGGCTCCAGGCTCCAAGCTGTCGGCTTAGAGCCTGACATGGGGCTCAAAGTCATGAACTGGGTGCACAACCCTGACGCTATTCAGAGATGCCTGGTATTAGTCTGAAAAGCACCTGCTGTTTAGGTTTCTGGGGGTGAAGAGAAAAATGGAACAGTCCTATAAATTCATTTTTTAACCTTGCCCTTTATGTGTATATGAAACCTTGGGCCCTTAACCTTTGGAGCCCGCACGGTTTCATTAGCCTGATTAGTAGATAAGTGAGCCTGTGAGGGCAGGCAGTGAAAGATGGTCCTTCCTCCAGGAGCCACCGCAGGGAGAGCTCACTTCTCTGAGAAGTCCTTGTTGACATGGACTTTTGCCCAGAAGGGGAGCAAACTAAGCTAGGTGCGTCCTGGAGATATGCTCATCAGTTCAGTGGCCTTCACTGCCGAGTGGCGAGTAGGGGCCAGAAGGAAGGACTAGACCTGGAGGGCTTCCTGGGGGATGCACTAGGTCAGGAGGCCCCAGCCAGGTTATTTTTGTAACCACTTGAGTCTCTTTCCTGAAGGTTTGTTTCTAGGCTGTGAAAGCCCATCCTAGTCCCTGGAAGATCCCAGAAGAAGAAAGAGCCAGACTTGTTTCATACAAGAATTCATAGTTGATGACTTTACTCCCGGAGCAGCCCCGGCCAGGCTGAAGGAGCCACAGACCTGTCACCGAGAGAGGCTGGACAGCACTGGCTTAGTGTCTGGTCATGAGACAGAAAGGGTTAGCTCCGGGAGCCTCTGTTTGGAGTCTGTTCTTCCCAGGAGGGCACCCAGGCTGCCAGGAGACTTTCCTTTGGCATATCCCCCAGAGTGTATAGATCAATGATTGCTGTTCCGTAAATATTTTCTATCTGACTGCTTCTCTGAGAGTAGACATTTCCTAGGCTGCTCAATGTGCAGATGTGGTGTGGGCCCTGTTTCAGATACCCCGCCTGATGAGGAGGGATGGCCAAGATGACTTCTTGAGGTGTCTGTAGCCCAAGGGTTCAGGGTTCATGGCTTCCGTTGTCACAACACGATAGTATTTGATTATGTTGGGGCCGGGTGGAAGAGAGGGGTCATGGACAGCTCTAAAGCATAACACCTTGGCTATGCAATAGCTTTAAAAAAGGTGTTATTACACAAGATTTTAAAAAATATTTATTTTTGAGAGAGAGAGAGAGAGAGAGATAGCATGAGCAGAAGAGGAACAGAGAGGGAGACACAGAATCTGAAGACAGGCTCCAGGCTCTGACCTGTTAGCACAGAGCCCGACGCGGGGCTTGAACCCACAAACCGCAAGACCATGACCTGAGCCGAAGCTGGATGCTTAACCAACTGAGCCACCCAGGTGCCCTGACAAGATTTTAAACATACACGAATGTGCAACAGTACAGGTGACCCTTGAACAACACAAGTTTCACTTGTGTGAGTCCACGCAAATGTGGATTTTCTTTAATAGGTTGAGCCTAGTCCTGTGAATGTATTTCCTCTGTCTTAACGATTTTCTTAACGTTTTCTTTTCTCCAGCTTACTTTATTGTAAGAATACAATATATAAGGCATATAAAAATGTGTGGTAACTGACTATTGACATTATTGGTAAGGCTTCCAGTCAACAGTAGGCTATTAAACAGCTAAGTTTTCAGAGAGTCAGAAGTGACACATGGAGTTTTGGCTGATTTTGAGAGAGAGGGAGAGCAAGTTCATACTGATGTGTACACGTGCGGGGGTGGAGGTCAAAGGGAGAGGGAGACAGAGAGAGAATCCCAAGCAGGTTCTGCACTGTCAGCACAGAGCCCGTCGTGGGGCTTGATCCCATGAACCATGAGATCATGACCTGAGTCAAAGTCAAGAGTCAGACCCTGAACCAACCGGGCCCCCCAGGTGCCCCAAGACCTTGCTGCAACACCTTCATGTCACCTAAACAATGTCTTCATTTGTCATCAAATACGCAGGTAGTGGCCTAATTCTCACAAATACTTTCTTAACAGTTGGTTTGTATGAAGCGAGATCCAGGCAGGTACATGTTAAATTTGGTTGATAGATTTCTCAAGTCTCTCCTTTTTTTTTTTTTTTTAATTTTTTTAACGTTTTATTTATTTCTGGGAGAGAGAGAGGCAGCGTGAGCAGGGGAGGATCAGAGAGAGCGAGGGAGACACAGAATCTGAAGCAGGCTCCAGGCTCTGAGCTAGCTGTCAGCACAGAGCCGATGTGGGGCTTGAACCCACGAACCGCGAGATCATGACCTGAGCCGAAGTCGGACGCTTAGCCGACTGAGCCACCCAGGCGCGCCAAGTCTCTCCCTTTTTTAGGAAACATTTTTATGGAAGCATCATAAATAGAGAAGAGCACATAAATCCTTCAGTGTACAGCTCAGTGAATTTTTTCCTGGGAGGCCCCCACATTGCCCGACCTAAGTAGCGTCTTACTGTTGTTTTAATTTGCATTTTTCTGATGACTAATTGCGTTGAGCCCTTTTACAATAGTCTTGGGGGGGGCTATTGGGGTGGGATGTTCTGTTTTATGAAGTGCCTTTGCAAGTCTTTTGCTTCTCCCTCCTCTTAACGTGTGTTTCCTCTTTCTTATTGATTTGTGGAATTCTTTATGGGTTCTGAGTGTGAGTGTTTTGTTGAACCCACTCCTGCAGATTCCTTCTCCCACTGTGTGGTTTGCTTTCAGTCTCTTAATGGTGTGTTGACGAGCAGAAGTTCTTAATGAAATCCAATTCATCAATTGTTCCCCTTATGGTTTGTGCTTTCCGTGTCCTACTTCAGAAGTCATCCACATTCTCAAGGGCACAGAGATACTCTCCTGAGATAGCCTCTGCAAGTGTTAGTGGCCTGCCTTCCCAGGACATGTCTACACTCCATCTCTGCCCAACGTGAGGCTCGAACTCATGACCCTGAGATCAAGAGTCACACGCTCTCCCATCTGAGCTAGCCAGGCACCCCTAGAGGTTAGTTTTGTGACTGGTGCGAGGTAGGGGTCAAGGCTCCTTTGTTTTTCCATGTTTGCATAGATGGTCCAGCATCGTTTTGAAAAGACCATGCCCTCCTGCCTGCCCCAAGGTGTGGCATCATTACCATAAATTAGAGAACGGTACACGTGTGGGTCTGTTCCTAAACCATTTGTTCTGTTGGTCCGTTCATGTATCTTCATGCGTTTGCTGACAAAAGTTTGTGCTGACACCGCACCGACTCGATTGCTGTAATTGTGTGGTGAGTCTTGCCATCTGGAAATGTGAGTCTTTTGACTGTGTTCCTCTTCAAGATTCCCTGGGCTCTTCTGGGTCCTTGGCATTTTGTGGAACAAAATGGAGTCATCTTGTCAGTTTCCACAAAAAAATTGCCAAGATTTTGGCTGGAATTGAATACGATCAGATTAAAATTGGATCCCATTTGGGGATCCAATCAATTTGGGGAAAACAAATACCTTTACAGTATTGACCCTTTGTGCCCAGGAATGTGGGTAATGTCCTGTTGATATAGGTTGTCTTCTAATTTTCATAGTAATGTTTCTAGATCCTCTGGCAGGTCTTGCACCTCTTTATTCAGATATATTCCTGTGCGCTGGGTGAGGTTTTAGATGTTATTGTGAATGGGTATCATGTTTAAAATTTCATTTTCTCCTCTGTCCTAATGTTAAGTTTCCTAACAGGTGGTTCATCACCCAAGATAAATTAAAAGTCCATATTGGAACTCTGTTTTAGTCTTGAATTTAGTACGTTTTTACCGCTTATACTTGCTTCCCACTTACAGAGATTTAACAGTACAGCTGGGCCCCCATTCTTTCAGAGGACCGGACCTCCCCCCTCCCTCTGGAAGCCTTGGGAAGAGGGCGGCTCCAGGGATCTATTTAGGTGGGAGTGAGGGGTTCTCCTGGGAAGAACGCGTCTCAAGGGAACAGGAGCCAGGCTGGCCCCATTTGACCCTGTAACAAAGCCCCTCCCCGAAGGAGGGAGACCGTGTGTGTCTGTCACTCACTTGTGTCCTGGCCTGGGTGCCTAGGGCTCCGACCCCGGTTAGTCCTGGGAGGATGGTGTGGAAGGGAGGGCTACAGGGATAAACCATCAGGAACGTTCTAATGATAATTTCAGAAGACACTGGGCACCATTCTCTTCTGCTCTGTGGCCCTGGGGGAAGCATGTAACAGGAGGAGGGCACGGCCCCTGACCTGGTGGCAGAACCCTCGTCGCCAGGGTACTCTGTCATAGGACTTAGTGAGGCTTCCCCGAGCCTGGGGGGAGGGGGCCGGCAGTGGGAATAACAGTGAACATTGCTGGGCACTTGCCGAGCGCCAGGCACTGTTCACTCATTTATTTAACCACCTCATTGTTTTACCAGTTTCAAGACTGAGACACAGAGAGGCTAGGCAACTTGCCCCAGGTCACACAGCTCACACATGGCAAAGCCAGGATTCAAACCCAAGCTGGCAGGTACCAGAACCCATACCTTCCACATTGTGCATTCGCTCGAGGTAGCAGCAGTGGGGGGGGGGGGAGAGCAGGAAGGAAGGGGTGAAGTGGGGTCCCTGCAGAGTGCTAGGCTGCACCTGCTCTTCAGCCCCTGGGAGGCATCCCTTGAGGCCTGTGAGAGCTCTCTTGGGGCGGGGCCGCTCTCGAGGGTTCTGGGGCCCAAGTTAGCAGGGGAGGGCAGGAGAAGTGCGACAGGTAAGGCAGTCAGGATTGCTCATCAGGTCCACAACTATGAGAAATGGGGCCTGGTTTGTTTTTTAGTTTTCTCCCCTTGAAACTTCTTCAGAGTGAGTAGAGCCATGGCTCCTGGTCTGTTCTTTCTCGGAGGTGACAGGCGTGTTTATATTTAGACCCACAGTCATGCTCCTGTGGCGGTGGCTCAGCGCGCCTCCAAGAATGGCCACGCCGAGATCCTAACATGTGGGTCTTCACGAGCGGATAAATCACCCCGGCCGTGGCCTGGATGCACGCATCAGAGGGGCCTGTCACTGACGGTGGCCAAGGGCTGAAGTAACTGGCTGGGCTGGCGTCCCTGAGCTCGCACGAGTGGGGTCCCCACTGGCCCAGCTGCCCCTCGGGCCCCATGCCCAAGGCCACGCAGATCACAGCCCGTCCTGTCCATTGCCTCCCATACGTCACGTGTCGCTGAGCCCCCCTAATTACACCCCTTTTTAAAAAAATAATTTCCAGTGTTTATTTTTGAGAGAGAGAGAGACAGACAGACAGAGTGCACAAGGGGGAGGGGCAGAGAGAGAGAGGGAGACACAGAATCCAAAGCAGGCTCCAGGCTCCGAGCTGTCAGCACAGAGCCTGACGCGGGGCTCGAACCCACAAACCGTGAGATAATGACCTGAGCTGATGTCGGACGCTTAACTGACTGAGTCCTCCAGTTGCCCCTGATTATAGCCTTTTAACAGCTTCCGGTCTGTGACCGCATTTCCCTCTCTGTTGCTGCTGGGGGCTGACATCCCGGGTGTTTTCTGGCCCGGAGTGCACAGTAACCGGTGTGCTCTGCTCTGCTGTCTCCTCGTCACCTTCACTGCCACTCAAAGGATCTTCGTAAAGCAAACCCATCATGCCACCTCCCTACTTAAAAATACCTCGACGGCTCTGCTGCTCAGAGGACTGGAATCCAGCGTGCAGGGACTGGTGTGCAGGGCTCCCAAAGAACAGGCCCGAGCCCCCCCCCCCCCCCCCCCCGGCCCTCCCCCCCCCCCCCCCCCCCCCCCCCCCCCCCCCCCCCCCCCCCCCGAAAAG